AACCTTAATTCCGCTCCGTCACAACTCAAAAAGCAACTATAATTTTTGCGCATGTGTGGAAGCTGTGCGAATTCCACATAGGGATTGTCACGGATAGGGATCGAAAGTGCGTTTATGCTTTGTGGAGTGCTTGTACGGCCCATCCTCGTACCTAACATAATGAGCACTGCGAACAGCCCCGATGCAGATGGGCAGAGAGACCGCACCGTCCTCGCCCGTCTGCAACATATGCGTCTTTGTGCTCACGACAGTCTAGTTGCTTGGCTTGCTTTTCTTCCATGTTTTAAGTGGGCTGATAACCAACAGTAGACTCGTCTACCGGTTGCTTTCTGACTTCCTTAGTCTACAAAGATGAACCCGTGTCCAACTCAAGTCTGGAGCTGATGTTCCGGGGTCAGCGTGAAGAAGTTCCGAAAACAGATTGCTCGTGTGCGCAAATGCATGCGTATGTGCAAAGCTCAAAAGACACACGCAGGGATTCAGGATAAGCAGGGGTTGCCTCTTTGGTTTGATCTGGAACGTTGGTGCTGGTGGATTTCGAGGCTTTAAAGGGTGCACCAAAAGATGCCCAGACGGAGAACTGTGCGTTTAGGTGGTTGGAATGCCTTGCCATCTTCTCACAAATCAAAGTTCATTTGAACTCAATCGATTTTCCTAATAGTCAGTGCCAGAGAAATGCCGACATTGGCTTTCTTTGAAAGCTCGAAAGCTCCCCAATCTATTTGTGGACTCGCTGCACAAGCAGGTGAGCCCCGTAAAGGTGGAAAACTCACAGGAGCCGTTGGGGTACTGGGTGCTAGGACTATTAAGCCCCGATGCAACAGTAGACAGATAATCCTGGTAAAAAAAGGGTGGTATGGCAGCATCACTGGTTGACAAAGAGGCGCTTGGGGGGTTTATGTCTGCGGAAGAATATGCGGCTTTGTTTGATTAACAGCCTAGTTGCCGTGGACTGTATTCCCCAGATCCTTGATATTTATCCTTCCCTAGCACATGCTCTCTGTCTGAAATAGTTAGCCACGTCTATGAGTACTGCTTTTAAAACTTTCGGTTGATATATTTTACCGGTTCTCTACAGGACATTGGAGTCGACTATGATGCATGCAGCAAATGCACCGGTAAACTAGTGTGTAGCTTAATTCCCGTTGTGCCTTTTACTTGTTTTCGGTTGTCTCTTAGAAGAAGACCCACAGGTTTTAGCTGTCCGACTACAGCGAGCCATTGCGCCGACGCTGTCTTGTTGGCTGAGTTCCTCACCTGTTGTTGGCTAGTTTGTGCCTTTCTTCCCGTAGAATTTCCCCTAGCAATTGACATGCACATATGCTTTTCTCGTTCGCACCGTTTTCGCTCTACGCTTTACTGTTTTCCTGGGACGTGGCTACAGGGCGGGAACTCTTCTGCTGTCATGCATGTAGCTGATCTCGACGCAGTAAGTTAACAACAGGATAACTCGTGTTTTGTTGGCAGCTGTAGCTGTCACAGCTACGCTTTTAAAAGTTTTTACAAAAAAATTGTAGTTAACTATGTAAAAGCCTGACTACTTCATTTTTTGTTCGGAAGATTTTGCTTATTGCAGAGAGCTGCTAGCTCAATACAAGAAGATGCAATGCTTTATACGTGTGCGCGAGATGCCAGATGCAACTAGCGGCGAGTGGTTGGAGTGCTTAGAAGGTGCAGCTGCACGTAAACGAGCTGTCCTTCTCCCCTGGTTTGCATGGAACTAAGGCACACTTGCACAGAAGAGTGGGGTTACTCTGAAAAGCCCTTACGAACTTTCCACTGAGCTTGTAATGATTTGCCTGTTTACTGTCACCCTTCGGAGGCCGTAGATGGGACGTTAGATTAAGTAGGCTTAGCTCCTTAGATACACATCATTCTGTTTGTCTTTGCCTTCGACTGTTACGTTAGATTGTTGATAATGCTCTAAACTTTCCCACAATGCAGAACTGTACATCGTCCTGTCCCCTGTCAGAGCGGAACCTTTTTTGCGGTGATAGTGGGGAGACGGAGGAAAAACGGCACTTGCTTGCGGAACTGCTCTAAAAGTTCTTCTGCTTAAATGTCCTCAAAGGGGCAATTTATTCCATTTGTGGGGCCCAGAGGGAGCAGTAGGAGATTATCCAGTGTATGGGAGCAGATGCTACTCTTCGAGGCCGTTGCATGCTTACAGAAGTTGCTGTTGCACAGACTTCTGCTGACTATATTCTAGATTCAGACAACAGCGATTGAAAGGCTATAGTTCGGGACTGTGTTGTCTCAAAATTACTTACATCAATACATCTTTGTTGACTGTTTCGGCCTCCCGCCCATGTGGCAAAACGGCGGAGAGTGCCGGGACGGCAAGTCTTGCTCTCTGAAAAACTGCACCAATGAGAATTTTACTTATGATTTAGGCATTGAAATACGCGGGGATGTGCGTTCATACAGTTGTAGAGCCTAGTTAAAGTGAATCTTTCTGGAAAGAGAAAACCGGGCAACTACTCAAAAACAGACAGGGCCATTGGTGTGTGGAATGGGGAGGACGCTCGCATTGTCAACTCATCAAGCCAACAGAAAATCATGAAAGCTTTAAATAGCACGTTTTCAAGAATTTGTTTTTTAGTAAGCATAATACGGGGGTGCCGTTGCAACTCTTTTGGCAGACTAGGCAACACTGCAGGAGCAGCTCGCGGACGGCGAGACCAGGATTTGCGGCAGGGTGCTTGCGTGTTTAGCTCTGCCCCTCTGCTGTTATTTTGAAATTTTCAAGCTTAAAGCACTTAAAGTACAGGAAAAAAGTTTGAAAGCACAAATAGACCAGTTTTCAGCTGTCTTTGGGGTATATTCAGGAGACCCTTGTCGGCGCCCTGGGCCCTATCCTGATTGTGTATCGACCGACATGCAGGCCCTGCGTGCACTCTGTTGTCACTTGTCTTATTATAATGCGGTTTTCCCCCATCTGTTTATATAGAGCTTGAATTGTTTACTCAGTTAAAATGGATCAAACCATTCTCTTTTGCTGCCTGGCGGCCCTTCTAGCCGCCTTGGGCTTCCGGGTTGGGGCCAGAGACCTCTCGGACGCAGGTAAGCAAAGTCTCCCGTATCCGCGGTCTTGTACCCTTCCCAGAGCCGCTTAAATGATGCAAAGCAAGTCTAGAGGGTCGAACTGTTGGGGAGTGAGCGTGTTCTGGGAGGCATTACATAAGTCACGAGGGCAGCAACTTGTGCTAAAAGCTCAGATTGCCTCGGCCTGGACAACTGTGGCTGGAGCCTACTGTGTTTGCCTTTTTTCGCAGCAGACAATACAAATATCTTTTCAGATCCCCTTTCGAATCCCTCTTCGGACTTTAGAGAAGCTGACAAGGCAGATCTTGACAACTTGACGTCCCCTGGACCTCAAATCCCCGCGGCGACGTCTTCCTTGAGTGACACTGATGCTGCAACAGACATCTCAAAGGAAGAGCCACTCACTGCAGAAGATATTGAAGGCCAGAAGTCCGTAGATTCCAAGCCACAACCTCTTTCTTCGGATGAAGGATTAGGTCCCGCCATCTATACAAGCGCACCATCAGCTCCAGCGTCTGATCCCTCAGAGGCGTTACCAGAGACTACGAAGCCAGAGCAGGAAGGCCTAACAGCAACGGCTTCTAGTGAGGGGGAGAGAAGAGCTGCCGGAGAGCAACCGGAACCTTCAGCCCCAAAGCCAAAACCCAGAAAATCGAAGCTTCCAGATCTCCAAAGCGGTACGCCGAGGGAGTCAGTTACACTCCCAGATACCTCCACTGGGACAGAGCCTCAAAGCACGAACGTCAACGTGTCACCAGGTAAATGATGCACAGAAGTCCAAAGGCAACAGCCTACAGTATTCAGTACTATGTAGGCCCTGGCCTTGCTATCATGAATTGAAGTGCCTCCGCTGGAGCGCGCTGAAGACCTTTGCTGCTATCCATTGAAGCGATCCGGGTCACCTAGGAGAACATCTGTATGCGAATCTGTGGATTAACGTCTTACAGAAGAGATGGCCACCAACCTTCTTAATGCACCCTTCACCACGGCACCGAGTAAGCCGGCCCTTTGAATCGGGTTCTACCTACACACACCTTTTTGATATTGGATATAACCTCTCTTGCCCATCAAAAGGTTCTTATAGCTACATATCACAACTTTAAGTGGGCTGTCCACGCTCCAGGAATGAGCACGCTCCCGCTGTTTTCTGCATCAGTCTGTATATCTCTGTCTCTTTGGTTTTGATTGCGTATTCAGCTAGGAAATTTTCTACAGCATTGCACTTTTTGGCTGCTGTAGACTCAGCGCCCCCCAATGGTAAGTCTTGAAAGTATCCTACGGAATAAGATTTTTATGATAGGCCTCTCGAGTTGGAAAAGACAGAAAACCTTCACTTTACAGGATGCAAGCGGTTTACTTTAGGGAGCTCAGTTACAAGAGGGTATAATATACAACTACTGCGGTCCAGTACCACCACTTTACCCATTTTTGATGCAGCGATCTCGGAGGAATCGCTGGAACGGGTGAACAAAAAACGAGGTATCAGTTGCCCAGACTTCCTCTAATCCCCGGTGTAAATATGTTGAGGGATTTGCTCCCTGACGTCCTGAGGTAGCTGCATTTTGTGGGACGCAGTGGTCTACCAATATTCCACTGATGGATATCCTCTGGAGTAAATGGGTGGCTTCTCTAGTTTTGTGTATTTTACAAATTCTAAGTGTAACCAATCAGAATATTAACTGCCCAACAGCAAGGTTTATCCCGCGCTTCAATTCTGCGAATATATTTTTCTCCGTGTATTTCAGTGCAAATCAACGGCTTGATAGCTGGCCTTTTAGCTATTTTACAGGCGTCCGATAAGCAAACCCTTAAGTTGCTGCTCCCTGGTAAGCCACTATACTGCACTTTCTGCAGAAGCGCTTCTGGAGGGGTTTTAAACACCTTGCAGTATTAAATTGTCACCGTTAACTGGAGCAGTAGTCAGTCTAAAATGATGCTGCTGGTGGTGCGACTGAATGGCGCGTTTCGCCCCTGCAGATTTGCCAGATGCAGCAGCCGAGAAATGCAACCTCAACGTCGTGATAAAATATGGGGGACCCCAAGGCCCAGTAGAGGCCCTCTCTCTGATTGTGCCGATATGGCTGCCACGCATCGAGCTAACGTATAGCTACGTCCACGTGATCATGCAGCTGTTGGAGGCCCGCCAGCACGATCTGTCATGGGAGACATATGCGGGGACCACAACACTCTTTGGCCAGGCTCATAAGGTCTTTACAAAGGTTTTGGGCTACATATGCGGACAGGATGGGGTGCTCGACAGATCGAGATCCAATTGCGCAATGACACTTAGAGAATACGACAACGGGACGATGCGAGCACTTCAATTAATTATACATGGTGCGTTTCCTTTGCAAGCAGAGACCATAGAATAGGCTGGCTGGCTACTATGTTTCCCAGCTTAACGGGACTACGCTTAGGATGAATAAAGACAGCAAAAATATGCATAATATCCAGTTGTTTTGTATGCCATATCCAGTGCACGTATGCCTGTGCTTCGGGAAATGTATCTTCTGCGCTGTGTGGGCAACTCAATGAATAAAGGAATGTACAGTAGCATACACCATTTACACGAAAACGGCATTTGACGCTATGAAAAATTGTTTTTCTCTTTATACAGATATCTCGATAAGCAACGACCACGGAAGGCCAGAGCAAGGAAATTGGCTCTCGTACCGCCACGAGAACTTCTACTCTGCTGGTGAGAGCTTCATATCAAAAGTTTTGGTGCTCCACTACCGCAAGACAGTTTAAACTTACTACACTTGACCTTAAAACAAGCGGGAAAATCCGTATCGCCCAGTCTGTCAGATAATTGCAACGCTGCAGGAGGACAGTATCACAAAATTCAACCCGTCTGTTTATTTCAAGCCGTACCACTAGCCACAAACATCACAAAGCAAGCCTTTAATTTGTGGCGTTTATCGACGCTCATCGTCATGGATGTATTGGGCATAGCGGGTAAACGGGTTTCATAAGACTGGCATTGCGTATTTGTTGCGTGTGCGTTTAGCAATGGAACTTGGAGTTTCAGTGCTTCTTCCAACGGAGATTGCATGTAACACCACCGTAGATACTCTCTCTCGATAGAAAAATGCACTCTAGGTGGATTAAGTTCAGTACGGCATGGCACGTGTCTCTAATACTGTACGGCATTTTAAGGCGTGCGGTCCCTTTTCCGTGGCTCCTGATATTCGCAGCAATGGATAAGTGGATCGACCAGCTTGCACAGTTCCGTGAATTGAGCGGTGAGGCAGCAAACCAGTAAGGTGTTATGGGGACCTAGAATTCACCGTAGTAGCGTAGTACTGATGATACAAGCCTACAGAACTTTAACTGGCACATGCGGTTCGATGTGCTGCAATCGCGTCACTTGTGTGCTGCTTCTGCTTTGTCTTAGCACCTCGCCAGGTGACGGGAGAATCTGTACACACCCTGTTCATGCGCCTGAAACAGAACAACCCAGATCGATTCAAGCTCTGCATGCGGCTTCTTAACTGGCCGGATGACAAGCAGCAGATTGAGAACGAACATGATGCCAAAAAATTTCTCGACACCATCCAGTGTGAGTAATACGGGGGTCTAGGCTTCAATGTTGGTATCAGAGACATAGGCTCGGCCTTGGGAACTAAATGGACTCATTGTAGCAATGTGTAAGCTAATGAGGTCGCGCACACATGGTTTCCGAGTATTTCATACTGTGCGTGGATGGATAGACATGTGTACATATACACACGTAGACATATATATACATCTATATATGCGTTCCCCCGTATACGGCGTTCACATACATACGAAAACGGGTCAGACACACCAATTGTTTCTTCACCTAATCATATCTACAGTGCTCCTGTGCAAAATGTCCCTGCGCACGTCAGCCGCTCACCTAATGTTTGATCCGTTTACCATGGGTTGGGCACTTAACTCAGCCCGCGAGGAAGGCCCACAGATCGGCAGAAAGATTGTCATGGAAAACCCAGAAATTCCCGAAGCTGTCAGAAAAGTTATTGTTGAAGCAGCTGAAGTAGAAAAGCACGGTATGCCCATGCCCATGCAGGGAACAGAGAAGATGAATTGGTTTCAGAACTTAAGGTCAGTGGAAGACGAAGCCGGAACTTTTGCTGGCAGAAGTCGTGGACCACCGAGTGAATGGGCACAGCCGAGTGCGCCACCCCCAGAACACATGGGGTACAGCCAGCATCAGCCAGCTATTTTTAGGCTATCGTCTGTGAGTCCAACAGCCCCAGGCGAAGAGCGAGCACCATCAGAGGACATAGAGTGGCGGTCTCCACAAACATTGCCATGGAATGCCTTTCAACAGGCTCTGGCCAAGAGGCATGGTGAGCACTTGCCACTAGGCCCCGTAATCTTTGCGTAACTGTTGTAATTGGTTTCCGCAGCAATCCAGCCGTTTAAATCTCCGTAGATATTATGATTGTAGCGTCGGAAGTAGCAAATAGAGTTTTGTTATGGTTTTTACGCCCTCAGGTCCCTACCGGAGAGTGCCTACTTGGGTAGAAGTCACTGGTGAGGCACGCCTTCCCCCTTCCCCACAAAATTTAGCTGTCGTATTGGATGCTGCACATGCCTACGCCATTCCACATTACAGTGTATTACCCAGATTATGCGTGCGGTTGTCACTACATTCGAAGTGCATGTATGCCTACGAGAATATATGTCGCTTCGCTTAATTGTGAACTCTACAGAAGGATGCCCCATTGAGGGTTCGCAAACAGCGGCAGGAAAGAGAATTGATATGGTGAAGGCCACCGACGATGTCATGCTCCGACTAGCTACGATGACCCCAGATCTTTTGCAAAAATCCGGCGGTCCCTCTTCTGCCCGCTTTGCAGCGCTGTGCGCAGGTATGGGAGCCTTCCTTTCCAGCTGGCAGCAGCTTTTAGAGACAGCCATGGTTGAGACTGCCATGGGACCTATGGCTCATGCTACACTCATTGAGCGCTTAGCGAATCTTCACAAGTATTTCCTATTTCCTTTCGGCGACATCAACGAGGAATCAAAAAACGAAGAGGAGGCGTATAATTCCAGGAGGAAAGCGATAAAATCCGTAGCCTCTAGTAAGTCAAAAAATGGTGCCCACGCAAGCGAGGCTGATCAGCACAATGCAAAAAGCATCAACATGGCCGCACCAGTTCTGAGCCTTCTCCTCGCAGCCCTGTGTCAAAGGCTATAGTGATTAGTCATTCCTATCGATGACCGTGGTCGATGGGAATCCTGTGTTTGTCCCTTGCGCAGGTCCTCAAATGAAGCAATGCATTGCCTTAAGTGCGCTAGCTGCAAAAATAGTCACACATATTATCTACCGCACAGAGCTTTCAGAAAGACGGCCTTTTCTCCTTGCACTTTTAGAGTCCCTCTCCTGCACGGTGTCCGTGGCTCGAGTACGGGGAGGTGTTCTCTTGTGTCTTCCCTGGTGCAGTTAATGCTGGAGGAAGCGTCGCTACACACCCCGCTGAGGGTTTCCGCCCGACAAAGCAAAAGGCACGGACTCTTTATGGAGGCATTGCCAACACCCTGGGGGTCCCTCTGACTCTTGCATCTTCTGTGCAGGAGGCGTTTGCAGCTTTCATTTTTGTTAACTTGACATCTAAGGGCAAGAGGAAACAGGGAAAGACGCAGAACCAAATTATTGGAGTATGCGCTGCAATGCACGTTTCAAGCATACTTTACAAATGCGCTAGAGGCAAAGAGCACGAGCTGGCGTTGAACATGTTCAGTTCAAACATCGATGGATCCAAACTAGCTAAACACCTGATGGCCGCTGGAGCCTTATCCCTGGCCAGCCATCCAACACTCGTCGAGCTCTGCGACCCGGAAAAAGCCGTACCCCTTTTCAGTAAGACATGAAACGCTCTACTGCGGGGACCCTACAATATGCTTTTTGTGCTCCTAGTCATGTCCCAGCCTGTGTCTTCCGAATTCTCGTTACGCTTCGTCGATCGCCATGCACCTCTAAGTTTCCTGATACCGCATGTGAGACTAAGGCATTCTGGCGCTTATTAGAACTACTGTTTCCTGGTGCCTCCGATGTGGCTGGCTGGTAAGGGAGGCCGGCCAAAAGTTGGGACAAGCCAGCTCCATTGCATTTGTTGCACGTACGAATTTTTCCTTACCTTCCGTACTTTCTTATATGCGCATCTATTTCATGTATGCCATGCTATAGTCTATAATCAATAACAGCCCCTCTATCCGGTTCTTTCGTTACTGCTTCTCAGCGGAGGTGCTGCAAGACATCCTTGTGACGGTATCCCCTGTATGGGAAGAACGGTCACTTTTCCAAAGTTACGTAGAATCCAGCAGCAAAGTGACGTTCGTCTCGGCAACCCCGCGAAAGCGTTTTTTTAGTTCAAGTTCAGAGTCAGAGTCATTATTCCCTCAAAACACTGAAGGCACAGATGTTCCCATCCCAGTCGTGCAGGAAGACTTTGACGAAGCAGGCCTCAATACCAAGGCGGGGAAAGAGAGCCCACTAAAAAGTGGCTCTTTGAAGACAGACTCTATCAGCTATAAGAAGGGAGAGGGACTGTATCCCCAGTTGAACGAGCTGTGATATGCTGGCCTCTTAGGTCTCGAATTGTACCCTTTGTGCACCGCAAATCCAAAGCGTTCACGTTTTGGGGTACACTGACTGGCAATGAGTGCTCCCTTCTGGCAGAAGCACGCTAAGTGCGGCTCTGCCAGAAGCGACATTGAAGATGTACGGATGAGGGGGATTGGCAGTGTACGTGACATCACTTCATTGATTTTGGCGTCGGCGGGTCGTCTGTCCAGCGATGGACGATTACATTGTCGCTTACCCAAGCATTGTTTTGTTTTTGTACGAGCTATGCGTTTAGTCCTTTTCTGACTAGTACCCATAGGCTTCCTAATATGTGGCTCATGCATGTTACTTTTTCTTGTTTCTATGTACACAGTTTTTTCAAGTTCACCGCATAGTTTGTTGTGCCCAATGGTGCCACTGGAGGGCAGACTGACTGGAGGCCTCCTGCGCCGTACACCGCAGGTCTAGTTAAGCAAATTTTTTAGTGCCCCGCGCGAAAGAGCTCCGTCCTAGTAATACGATTAACTTAGTGAATAATACTATAGCACATGGGTAGACACTACAAGCACTGCATTGTAGTTCTTCCCATTGCTCGACCTCCGTTGTTACCGAATCCTGCACGAATTTGTCGAGTTCTAAGTATCTAGCCGTCGGTGTTTTTCTTGGGCGTACTCGGTGTCTCTGCGCTACCAGTATAAGCCGATCCCTTGAGGGGAAACGGGCACTTTATTCGTTTTCGTTGAACCGGACTGCTGTTACACTTTACTATTTCTCTGTCTGCTTACCTTTTAGTTGCGGGAGAGCGCATCAAATAAAATTCGAAGCAGACACAGCTTCGCACACAACCAGAGCCTGTGGGACTGCAGTGACTTTTGGGGACCAAGTCATCTTCTTTTTTCCACCGAAAGAGGATGCAAAATGCTTTTTTTTAGGTTCAGTGTGTGCTGGTATAAAATTAAAGAGACAAAGCTGCAGCGCTGCTTCTCACCTTGTTTTTATGGGCATTTAGACGCGCATTAGTGAGCCCACGCCTTGGTGCTGGGGTGCAACTCTCTCCTTATTTCCTTCAGATCTGTTGCGGAATGCATTCAGGTTGGTTTTCTCTTTGCCGCAGTGTATATAATATGCAAAAGGAAGGAGCAGGGGTGTGCGGACTGGATGGAGACATGCATGGTGATGCCGCGGACCGTATCGTCTGCACTCTATGACTTGAACTCCTTGAACCTTTCCTTCCTAAGCTTTTTCCCCTTCCCATTTCAAGGAACAAGTGCTTTAGCCTTCCTTTTCTAGGCTCTCTTCCATATTATCTGCGGTATCCCGTAGCAGCTCTGACGTGGACCACCGGACGGAGCGCACCACGGCCGAATCAGGATACAGCACGCCACAACAGCCGGCTCTGGAGGAGCGGCATACAGATAAAATGGGAATAGCCACATTGCTTACGACCTGGGGCTTCGCCTCGCCGGATTGCGTCGCCGCCTTCCGGATATTTTCTTTTCCAGCTCCCTGTGTGAAACAGGCAAGCAAGAACCACTAGCTCTCTCGAGTCCACGGGATCTGCCTCCTGCAGCCTCCTTCCTAAGATGCCACAGACGCATGCGTATGCACCAATCGCGGCAGACTGAGAGCTGGAGGACAGCAAGTCAAATTGTTTGAAGCCTTGAAACGTTGTACACAAGCGCGGGGCACCGACACCAATCCATAGACACATTCGCAAAGACCCCAGTTGCCTGTGTGTGCAAAACTGCTTGCACTGAATTTGACGCGCTAGTATTCCCTATTGTGTAGCTCGGCATGCAGCCACTTGTGTGGCATTTGCTGCGCGCGGGTGCTCCTGCAGCTTCTTGGCGTGTGCTTGAACTACATGATTTTGGTAGGAGGCCTCGGCGTGAGGCTACCACAGCTCTATAGAGTTTGGAAGGCAAAGAGCGTTGTCGGCATTTCAGAGGCCTCTGTTCTCGTTGAGGTAAGACAAACACGCACGCACACATATATACATATATATATATGTGCACATACACACACATGACAAAGGCCTTGGGGTTTTAAGTTCAAAGGCCCACAAGGCTTCCGGGCAAAAGGATCCACACGGTACGGTTTGTGTGTTTGTTAGGCGTTGGGAGCCTGGCTATTTGTGGCGTACAACCTTCTACAAGGCCACGCCTTTACGACATGGGGGGAAGTCCTCTTCATTGGTGAGGGAACCAGGAGAGTTTAGTATGCTGAAAATCCTGGTGTATCCCTTCCCCATTGGGGTAGGAGGATTTGGTGGCGTTAAGGATGAGGAGGAGGTGAAGATAAATCGGAATATTCACAGTGTGTAGAAGCATGCGCGCCGCGGCTTTCTATCTGGCAAAATCCTAGCACTTGGAAGGCTCCTGCTTCCCCCGTTATCAGTTACTGTGTTGGATCTCTTTCTCGCTGACAGATCCTTTCGTGTGCCGCCTCGCCCTTCCTGGCAAACCGAGTCCTTGATTGTTAAATGGTGCTGAATCCAGTGATAGCTCATGATTCGTAGACGAATTTGGTGGCAAGCCGCCACTGTTCCTGAGGTGTACACGCAGCAGACCTTTCCATTGAAGTTGCACGCATGCCTCGGCTTGCATCTTCCGCATGGCCGACAACGACCACTGCCCCGCTCTGTGCTGCTTGGTGTGAAGGTTTTCTTTGTATCCTTTTTGTTCAAATGTGATGTTGGCAGGCGTTTTGCCTTTTCATTCCTTGCAGGCATTCAGAACTTGTGTCTTGTGTCGCTCTACTGGAAGTACTCTAGAGGTAACGCGGGCAAGCGGCGCCGCTGTCTCCGCTGGGCAGCTGCAATTGCTGCGGCCCTTGGTTCTTGTTACCTTCAAATTCTGCCTGCTCGCGCTTGTGAGGCCATAACGAATCTCCTCGGAGTCTCTCCTCTCCCCTTGAGTAAGACTGCCCCCGAGCCTCGTAAATCCACCTGCTTGTCCTTGTCCATCTGCACATTCATATTCAGTATATTGACGGTTTGCTCTGTGTGAGCCACTCGGTTGTATTGCTGTCTCTCCATAAACACGCCCCCTCCCCTCGGCCACTTTTCTCCTGTGTCGCCCTCACCTTCCTTCGCGTCTAATCCCCTTTGCTTTCCACGCCTTCGCGCGAAAAACGTTCCTCTTCTTGCTTGATTCTACCGGGATGCCACTAGACAGGGCAGAGGGAGGACGGGGGCCCCTCCGAACTGCTGGGCGCTACTCGAAATGCACATTGTTTCTTTCTTGTCCCTCTCTCTCTGACAGTCTCCGTGAAAATATCCTATTTCAAGGCCCCCAAGGGCCTTCTCTAGCTGTTTAAGAGGTGCTCCGTTTGATCCGAATCTTAAAGCTGCCTCCTTCGGTAGTGTATCGAAGTGCATGCTCGGTTTTGGTGTGCACGGTGGAGGAGAGCTCTCCTCATGCTTGGAATGTGCGGACCCTGACGCTACCCTTTGCCTTTGCTACTGGAGAATGTATCTCCTGACTCTGCTGAGACCAGCGTCTTGCTGCACGGGCTGTGCTGGCCACCCCTACTAAGCCTGCCCGAATGCACGGGGGGAAGGGACTACCCTGCTCTTCTGGCGTCTGCTCTTTTGCAGTGATTCTCGCGCGAATGCCGCAGATCGTGCAGAACTACGAGCAAGGGCATACGGGACAGCTATCGCTCGTCTCCCTCTCTATGACGCTGCTTGGCGGCCTCGCCAGGCTGGCCACTGTGCTACAGCAAGTTCCCGACGGATACATCTTGGTGGGTTGCACGTCGCAAGAGTGCTGTTGCCAGTGCGCGCGCGGTTGTGCTTGCTGCTGCGGATCTGGGAGCGCAGGCGAACAGCTTAAGGGTTAAGCAGACTGAGGAGTGTGTGTGCGTGTGTTTGTGTCTATGCAGGCTTCGTCCGCTTTGGCTGTCGTGCTGAACTTATTACCTACACTACAAGTAGGTTGTTCAGGCAGGAGGCACACCATGAGCGACAACAACACAAGCAGGAGCGACAACAACACAGAAGGCGCCGTGCTTCTTGTTTCCATGCGTCTGCTCAGATTGCCTTTTATTGGAAGCATACTGAGGCGGTGCTGCGAAGAGATGCAGAAAAGCGAGAATGCTAAGCAGCCGCGCTCTGCTCCTCTTTGGTTGCTTGCTCTTGGCACGGGTGCGACTGCTGCTGCTGCTGCTGCTGCTGCTGCTCTTCGTGCAGACGGCGCTTGGCAGTTAGATATTGAGCCGGGGTAGGAGGGGCTTCTGCGAAGGCCAGCAGAGGGGCAACTGCTCTTGCTGCCGTCCTCCCGAGTGCCTCGTCTGCCGAGTTAAGGCCGCGAATGACGTCTGCATAGAGTCTCAGCAAGAACTGCAGCAGCAACGCCAGAAGCAGCCGCATCGCAGAAACCGTAGGAGTCGCGTGCAGAGCGGAGGAACGCGATCCTTTGTTTGCAAACGTGATGCTTAGAGCTGCCATTGCTGCACTTGCCGCTTTTGTATTGAAGGGGCTTTTCCTGCTGCTACCGTGGTTGCTGCTGCTGCTGGTCGCTATGCTCTCTCGGGGAAACAACTTACCAGGACTATCCAATCAGCTATCCAAGCGGGATCGTACTGCAGGAGGTGATGCTTCAGCACCAGCATGCAGATCCGTCGCTGCTGCCGCTGCTCTTCCTGCGTCTTCTGTCCTTCCTCGGCAGCGGCGGCATCCGCGCAGAGAATACTAAAGTGCCAGTTCAGCTCATCGCGCTGTCTCTGCCGCTGCAGCTGCAGCTGTCTCAGCAGGGCGTCACAGCAAGCCGCGGGCCAGCTGCCGAAGTCGGAGAGCCACCGCACCTCGGCAGACACCTGAGCAACACCACAAGAGTGCAGCGATTCTGCGGGAGATTCGCGACACGCTGCGAAACGGTAGTAGGAGCCAAAAGATAAGATCACGAGACGCAGAGGCTGTTAGGCTTTCCTGCAACGCACGTAGAGGAAGTCGGGGCCCCTGCGAAGGCGGCACTGTATGCTCCGCGGCGCTGCAGCAGGAGACTCTAACAAATAGGTTGTTCCTGCCGTATTGCCTTCCGGTTCTTGCTGCTGCGGTGGCTGCTGTGAGCCTAGTGCTGCCTGGTGATGGAAACGCTTCGCCACAGAAGCGCGGTGCTCCTCCACGGAAGACACTGCGGAGGCAGACGCGGTTTCCTGGCGATATTCTTGCGCTTGCTGGCCTTGTTGCGGCTGCTGAAAAGTCTCCTCGTGGGCTTCCCTCTTGCACGCGTGCAGCTGCGCTGCAGTTGAGTGGCACTGCTCCTGCTGCTGCTGCTCCCTTAAGCTGCGCAGCTGCTGGCAGAGGAACTCGCGGAACGAGTAGCTGAGGCAAAGAGCAACACATGCAGAAAGCAGCATGGATACGCCAGCGGCATTTTTGAAGCGCCGACTGAAAACAAACCTTGGGGCAGCAGCGCCGCTCGGCAGAGCAATGGACCAAGAAAAAGGGGGCCATCAGCTTAGAAGAGGCAGCAGCGCAAGAAGCAGTCAGGCCGCAAAATTTTACTAGAATAGCATTTCTTCTTTCTCCCAAGTGTCGAGGAGGGGCAGCAGGGCGGCCGTTGAGGCAGCGTCCTGCTGAAGCCACTGTGGTGTCACTTTTTGCGGCGGCTGCTGCTGCAGCGGTGCTGCAGGGGCCCCTGCAGGGGCCCCCGCCGAGGAGTCCATGGGGTTTCTGAAGGAAGGCAGTCAACTCCAGGGGGGAGGGGGGGAGGTTCTTTGGGTCACCTACGAATCAACTGCTGTTGCCACACCCTCAGCAGAAAAATTGACCAACAGCACCCGAAAAAAGGATCCAATGCTGCCTGCCCTGCGGTTTACCAGTGTGTCTTCCGAGAGGCGTCCTCTTGGCGCTGCTCCTTCTCCCCCGGTGGGTTTCAGCCGCAACACGCCCCAATAGGCTCAGCAGCAGGAACTGGAAAAGCGGTACAAGAGAGCAAGGAGAATTGTGCAAAATACGCGTTTACAGCCTCGCTGATTCGCAGAAGGTCAAAGGACAGCACCAAATATGCATGGGGGGTGCCCCGCCTTTCTTCCACGGGGGGCCCCCAGCATCACACCGACCCCACTGACAGTCCCCTTGGGCCCCTGGCGCGCGCCACTTCACTGCACCCTATTCCTCCAATTTCCATTCCTTTAGTGTATGTGACATTCAGTAAACGTGTTTCGCTTTCAAGACCTTGCTGTGTAGGTGCACAATACACCCCCTGGGGCGTTCGCAAGCAGGGGGCCCTCGGGGCCCCCCTAAGAATATGGGCCATTGGGAGGAGGTGCAACAGCAGCAGCTGAAGCAGCGTCAGGAGCAGCAACAGCTTCTTCTTCAGCTGCACGACAGGCAGCAGCAGCAGCAGCAGCACCTCGAGCAGCAGCAACAGCAGCAGCAGGAGGCACCGGCGCAGCAGGCCGCGCGGCTGCCTTCCGTTCCATACGTCTGCAACAGCAGCAGCAGCAGCAGCAGGAGCTTTTTCGAGTGGCTCAAGGCTCATGACGACGAGCAACTGTGGCGTTGTGCCTGGGGAGCCCAAGCCAGCAGTAGTAGCAGTAGCAGTAATAGCAGCAGCAGCTGCCCCGTCCTTGTCGTAGATGCGGGCTCACACTGCGTGAGAGTTTCTCGTGCAGAAAGAGGCCCCGAGGTTCGTCATGAAGGTCTGATGCATTCTGGGGGGCCCCTAGAGGGCCCCCCGGAGGCTGTGGCTCTGCTGCTTTCGCCAGCAGCAAGAGGGAGGAAGACGCGCGCAGTGGCTCTCGAAGGGGCCCCAGCCTGCTTGACTAATGCTTGTGGTGCTCTGCGCTTCAGGGTGAAGAGCAGAGCCTCATTTTGCCGCAGCTCATCAGGAAACCGTGGGGTGAGGCCTTAAGCCAGAAGGCGCTCTTGTCGGTCTCCTCTCCCCCACCCCTGTTTCTCTCTCTGCGCAACCTGGTGCACCCCTGCTGCAGTAGTCGAAGTCTTGGTGTGCTATTTTCGTTTGCTTTAGAGGGCGTGGGAGATGGCTCTCTTCCTGGTTACAGAGGGACAGTCAAAAACTGGATCGCATTCGAAGACGCCTTGCTCGAAGTGCTGACGGCTCCGGATTCGGCGTAGGTCCCTCCTAGCCTCCTTTTCCTGCTACTGAGGCTGCTCCTGAGGCTACTGCTGAGGCTGCTCCTGAGGCTACTACTGAGGCTGCTCCTGAGGCTACTACTGAGGCTGCTCCCGAGGCTACTACTGAGGCTGCAGTTCATCAAAAGGCCAGTGTCTGTCTGAATTGTGTTTGCGCGCTCTTGCCGCCTGCTACGGCTGCAACGCCGTCGCGCACGCGGTGCTGAAAGTTGCTGCCAGCGGTCTTCATCGTGAATCTTGAGGCGTCGATTTCTGCGTTCTCTCTCTGCCTTCTTGGGTGCTTCAGTATGCATCCCTCTACTGCAGGGGGCCAGTTCTTATGGTGCGAGAGCAGCCTGCGATCGCCAGATCACTTCAGCCGCCTCGGAGAAATCTGCTTTGAGCTGCTTGACGCCGAGAAATTCCTCTCTGTGGACAAGGTGGGCTCCTCCCATGTGTTTCTGCTGTCCCTTCCGCTGCGGATGCTTTCGCTGCCGTGGCTTCGAGTGCATGCATGCATGCATGCATGCACTTAATAGGCAGTAAATTACGGCTGCTCTGCGAGCTCATTTGACGACTTCCGTCTGGCCTTTGAGGCACGGGAGAGAGGGCCTGCCAAGTGCGTTTCTGTGGGTGCGATATCGCTTCACGGCTTGGGCTGTTGTTTTTGGAAAATGAGCAGCCACCGTATCGTACCGCGCCGTGTCTGTGCGCCTTAGGACACCCTCTCCGCACTTGCCATCTGCGGCAGCCTGCTGCCGCCATCCGTAGTGCCTGCTGAATGCGGGGAGAGCAACGCCAGCAACAGCAGCACTCGGTGGAATAGCAGCGCTCTCCGCGTGCTGCGCTGCATGCAGCACTTCACAGGTCTTGTCATAGACATGGGCGCCTCCTTGACGCGAGTTTCTCCCATCCTCTCAGGGCAAACCCTAGGCTGCCTCGCAGTCGAGCTGCCCCTGGGGGGCAGGGATATAGATGCGTTTCTCTGCGGCAGCCTGCTGCGGCAGCAGCAGCAGATGTTGAAAGCTCCTACTGAAAGGCCTTGCGACTGCTCAATGGTAGCGCATTGCTCGTGAACAATCTCTCTCTATCTCTCTCTCTACTTCTGTTGCGTCCATCTCTCTCTCTACTTCTGCTGCGTCCATCTCTCTCTCTACTTCTGCTGCGTCCATCTCTCTCTCTACTTCTGCTGCGTCCATCTCTCTCTCTACTTCTGCTGCGTCCATCTCTCTCTCTACTTCTGCTGCGTTTGCTGCCGCTGCTACTGCTGCATGCCTTGCAGCTGATGCCATCCGTGCTGCTTTTGACCTGCTTTTTGTTGCACTGCCCCCTTGATGTTGTGCTTCTCGCGTGTGCCGCAGGCGGCGGCGCGTTCAGTGAAAGAGCAGATGCTCTGCTGCTCCACGGACTCAGGTGTGGTATTTGCAGCGGAAGCGGCCTTCGCCAAAGCAAACCCTCGCAGCGTGTACGTTAGCCTTCCGGGCTGCGAACGTTGCCGCAGTAGCAGTATTAGCAGCAGCAATAGCAGCAGCAGGAAGCGTCGCTGTGAAGAAATGCCTTCGGCAACTGCTGCAGCAGAGAAGGGCCAGCTAGATATTATAGATGCCCAGCAGCAGCAGCATCAGCGCCATCAACGCGAATCGCCTTGGCTTGTAGGGGACTGCCGAGTTCTTGCAGCGGAGCTACTCTTTGACGTGAAGGCCCTCACAGAGTACAGAAATAGCGGGGTTCGTCATTGCATGCGTGGGATAGGTGTTCTTTTTGTTGAGGTCGCTGCTGCTTCTGCTTCGCCATACGCTTAACTCCCGAAAAAATACGCGGTACTGCTGCTGTACGCATAGGCCCGCCTCACATACCCCTACCTATATATGTATATATATCCATACATCTATTCATGCATACTGACATGTGGAACGCTCGCTTTCCTGTTATGCGATGTTTTCAGGCCTTTGACGAGCCGTTGACTGCTCTCCACCTCATGCCTCTACAAGCAGCCGTCGAACTTGTCGTCCAGCGCTGCCCAATCGACACCAGAAAGTGAAGTTTTGCTTCTTAGACACACTCCCGTTTGCTAAGGGACTGATTTACACTCCATGCACGTTCTGTGTTTCTGAGTCTGTCCGTGTTTCGGGAGGTCGTCCCTCCATCGCCTGCTCGGCGTGTTTGCCTGTTGCGCTTAGTGCGTTTATTTACACCTCCCTGTTTTCACATTCTCTACGTCTGTACGGTAGATCGGGCTCTCTTTCTCTGCTTTCTGCGCCTGAACCCTGGACTGCTTGCTCGTATTTATCTTTCGTGCCGCCTTGCTTCCAACTCGTGGCACGGCACCTCTCCCCTCCACAAGGGGGCAAAGGCAACGCAGCTGCGCCTGCCTGCCTTGAACGCCTTCGTAACGCATGCCTTGCCTCCGCATGCTGCTGCTGCTGCTGTGCTGTGCCGCCGTTGCTGCCGCTGCAGATGTTTGCTGCAGAATGTGTTTGTAGTTGGCGGCACTTCACTCATCCCGGGTGCCGCCGCGCGCCTTCAGGCAGAGCTCCAGGTGCAGTGCTGCTGCTGGCTTGCGGACTTGCGGCTGCTCCAGTTGTCGCTTTCTGCTGTTGCTGCAACGTGTTCTCCCTGTGGTGGCATTCCATGCCACTAGCGCTCTGGGGTCCCTTAGCAGCACTGCACTGCACCGAGAAAGCGCGTGCCAAAGACCTCAGGGCGTAGTCTTGTAGGGCTTCGCCGTAGCGGCGTTCCTGGACTTTAGCGCCATTTTTACCGCTAGTGGTGTCTCTGCCAATGCTGCTTCTACCACCTCAGGGTGTGTACAAGTACCGCAAGGCGCACGCCTCCTTCACACCGCAGGTCCATGTGCTACCCCACCCCGAGTTGCAGCAGTGAGTGTTTTTCCGCGCAGCAGCTTCGTGTGCGTCCCTAATCATTCATTGCACGGCTCTTTCACCCGTTTGCTTAACTATCGTGGCATCCTCCGTGCTGTCTGTCGCGTATGCCACCTTTTGTAATTCTCTACTATTGTCGTCTACCCCTTCCCGTTACTCTTGTGTTTTTTTCCCTGCTACGCGGGTTCTTTTTCGCTGCGCGTGTGTCTCTTTGGGCACGGGCAACGCTTTTCTTCCTGTATTTTCCAGTCGTTGCTGCACTCTGGTCTTGCACACACCCGCTGCTGGCTGGTGCTTCTGAACCACCCGTTGCTCCTTGTCCATCTCAGCCTTGACGGCTACATGCTGCTCTGTTCAAGGAGCTGGAAAGCGCCTTTCTTCGAGTAACCTGTTTGTGTGTATTGCACTTGTCTTTAGATTGCTTAAATGCACACAGCAACAAAAAGGCTTTTTGCGTGGAGTTGGGTTTTCTGTCTGCATTCTCAGTCATGCGGCAGTTTGCGGGGGCCTCCGCTTCGGCATGCAATATCACTACGATCTAAATAACATTACACGGGAGCAGGTAGGCCGCGCTCAGTCTGTCGAAACTTCGCAAGACAGGACAAGAATTCAGCACATTTGACTCTACTGATTCTGCATTGCCTTTTTCAATACTCTTCGTCACGGTCCGTCGCTTTCGGCCATTGCGCACTACTATCAAGGAGGCCGTGTCCCTGCGATTTATTTTGCAGTACTTTGAACATGGGGCCTCGGTGTTGGAGAGTTTCAGCTGCTGGGGCCGCATGCGTTAGTGCCAAAAGCGTTAGTACGAAGGCTGACCGACAGGTAACACGCTTTGTTTGACTTTTGCCTCCTGGAAGAGTCTAGCGAGAGGGGCATGGCAACGCCTAAAAAAAAAGTAGTACCGATTTGATGCTGAGGAGTGGCCTAAAGGCACTGCTGCGTAGCAGCTGCTCTAGGAGAGAAGGGGTAGCAATATCCCCATAGAACCTTTTAAAAGTTTAGCAACAGCGGTAGTTGGTGGTGTCTCGGTACTGTAACGGGACATTTTAACACCCAGCAGACAGCAGCAGCTGCCGTAAGAGCTCCTGCTACAAAAGCTTCCACGGAAGTCCCCGCACTCTACCAATGGAAGCCCCCTCGGTCTCTGCAGGATCAAGCTTCGACAGCTATACCGAGGCTTTCTAGTAACAAAATCTAAACTTGCGTGCTACATATTTGTTTATCCACTAGCACTCAATATATTCATTGTAGCTCTTTACTTTGGATCACGTGTACTGATCTGGACGCATATTCAACCATATATAGCTGCCCAAAGATGAAAGTAGAGTTTAGATGCACGCATTCAGCGCACATAATGAACGACTACGAAGTACAGCAAACCCAAGGGCCCTGCCATGATATTTCCGCTAGCGAGTGTGCTGCGAGGGACAGACCACTGGATGGTATCATGCCGCCTTGCATACTTAAAGTCTCGAAACCCCTATGTCCCCCCTTCGCCCCAAATCCCAGACTCTACTGGTAGGGGGAACCTGGAGCGTCACGCTACAGCCAGGGTAAGCTGCACTTGTACGTGCAATGAGTGACCAGTTTACCCAAGGCAATAAATATGAACCTTGGAGACTGTAGGACATGAAAAGCGCGCATTGAAGGCCTATACTCTGTGTGCCCTTCAGAGCGTTAGTAGTCCAGGGGTAGGATGCAACCCTCCCAAGGTTGCGACCCGGGTTCGAGTCCCGGCTGACGCACTTCTTATTTAACTGACGTCTCCTGTGGCGGGCAGTTTTCCGCTGTTTCTCGTGCTTCCAACCTGTCGGACTGACTCTGGCGCTAACAGTTTAGGTATGAGCACTTTTCTTGCGTGGCCATCCCTCCTTTGAAACGTCAAGTATATCCTTAATAATGGTGTGTTTGAGGCTTTTTTCAGTTGGAGATTGGAGGGATCCTTGCTAAGCTACCAAAAAAATATGAATAATGAATGATGCATAAATAAAGCTGAGAGCTGCACATATTATACGATTAAAATGACGCTTGGCCATGAGCTCCTTACACGCCCCAACTGGGGTGGTGGAGGGTCACCTTAGTGAGGCCCCCTTCACTCTTGTCCCTGGATTGGCACTCTTCACTCCGCAAGAAAACGAGGAGTATCAGAATACAGATATGCGGTTTTCTTTTCAATTGACTAGGCAGTAAGAAGCAGTGAGGATGCCACTTGACAAAGCCACACTCGCGCATTGCGCCAGGGCGCTTGCAGAGCTGGAGATGCCCAAAGAAGGGTCGCTCAGCAGGGCAGAAATTAAGGAGCTAATTCAGGGTCAGAAATACGAGCCCCTTTATCCCCTGCTACAGAGTGTGCACGCGCCTGCATGATTCACTGATTTGACAGGCACATGGCAAGGGTTCTTCTGAGAATAGCCGTCAACAATGCATACCCATAATGCCGGCCGCACACATATCCAACCATCTTCAAGTGTTAGCAGAAAACCGGCTTTACAAAATAGGCCAGCTTCTTGTATCACAAATTGCGCTGCTCTTCAGCTGGTGACCCCTGGCTGCACTCCTCGGCCTTGCCGTTATAGCCAGTCACCTCATCTCCTCCTTTTGTATCTTTGCCGTGTCTCTCTACTGTTTGCTTCTATCGCTAGTACTATTATCGCCACTAGCAGCGCAAAGGCTGAGGAGGCGCCCCGACTCCTCTGAAGTCTCTGATACTTCATAGAGTCTTGAGAGGCTCTCTCGACACGAAAAATAGCATGGCCTAGCGCAGCATGAATGTACTGATTGGAAAGACAGGGCCCTTAGAAGGGAGAGAGGGGAGGCAGGAAATGACGCATGAGCCACGGGGTAGACCAAGCAATGTAGCAGTCCCTCCAAGCACTCATGAGTTGCCCTTCAGGGATTCTGGGTGCCCGCGCCACCGACGACCTTATCTTCTCCCTAATGGCGGAAATAGAGGAAGACTGCAGTGGACAGATAGGTGCTTGAATCTATGAGCTCGAAGCTTTTGCATTTTCGGCTGGCAAGCGTAGCCTAGATCCCCACACAAGTGCAACGTCCCCTCCCGTAACATCTCTAGGTGATGAACGTGCTATCCCCTGTATCTGTTGTCGTTTTCCTGCTGAGCAGACTTCGCTGAGCTTCTGCGGGTTTTTGAGCGGCAAGCGGCCGAGGGCTACGAGGAAGACGACGAACAGAATATGCGTCAGCAGGCATAATAGCAGCAATAGTACCTTTCGCAGCACGAACAACACTGGTAGCTGCACATCCCAGATGCACCGCTGTCCTATGCTGCGCTCAGTGGACGTATGGGTCGCTCTTGGAGGCTCGGCAGATTCTTTAACGACGCCCATCCCCTTTGGTGGGCTGAGCGTACAGCTGCAATTGTTGCCACTACGCTGATTGTGGCTGGTGCAGTGCAGTGCGTACCATGCCTGCAACAGCAGCAATGAGGCTTTGTGTGCGTTTGGGGATACGCAGAAAATTTGTTGGCGGCGTTCAAAAACAATTTCTCGATGAACGTGGACGAAGCGGTCAGACCGAAGGCCTTCCTTGGACTTCTGGTGGCGCCACAAGCAGGGCGCGTTGCATGATGCTTTGCCCTCCGGCGGGCCCAAACACTTAGTCACTGCGTCTAACATTCTTGAGTTTGTGAGGTTTGTTCTGTGTCTGAGGGGCTCGCACAGGCACTGCGCGCTGCTCTTCACGTCGGTGACGACAACAAGCTCACCTTTCAAGTCCGGTAGCAATATTCAAGCACCAGCGGAAGCGCAAAGTAGAAAGCAAGAGGCCTTGGAAGGGATAACACGAACACGATCGGAGGGAAACAGGGGGTCAAGTAGCTAACAGAGGTTTTAGGGTAGAATGGGGGGGAAGACAGTGCGAGAAGGTCGGAGGAAACACCACCGCGAACGATTCCACCGGATGCGGGTACCCTGAAGGGCAGTGACGCCGGGATCTGCTGTATACCGTGGCAGAGTAACAGGGCAGAGGGAAGAGAATCACACGACAGAACGGGCTACAGGAAAATGAGAGTATGGGGAACATTGGGATCGAAAGGGGTTGGAGAAGAATACAGGGAAGCACAGGGGAAAAGTTTGCCTTGGCAGAAGGTGCTGGAGGTAGCTATGTACATAGAGGGAGGGCAGCATACCGACAGGCACAGATGCCAAAATAGGTAGAGATAAGGGCAGACTAAGACTGACAGCTGGGCTGCGGTTGTATGTTATAGCTGGGGGAGAACAGGAGCTGAAGGTAGAGGGGAAAGTAGGTAGGGGGGACTTCAAATGTAGAGACACGATAAAGCAGGGAATTCATGAGGCGAGGACAGTTGGGAAGAGTTGCAAATGTAGGAGCGGAGGCACTTGAATAGGCACTGAGCGCAAGCCAAGGACCGATGCAGCGAGTGGAAAGCAGCGAGATAGGGTTAGTGCGAGAGACGTGGAATTTTCGGCTCGCATATTGCCCGTAGTAGTGGGACTGCCACAACTACCGTCTCTAGTCTTCCTAGTACAAGACACAGCGGGACAAGGGCGAAGCCCCCAGGGTCTTTACGTGTTGTGGTGCATTTCCAGGCGTTCAACGCACACTATAAGTGAGGAGTCTATGGGTGAGACAAGAGGGGCGTGCCCTCTAATGGCCTTTCAAGGAGCCAATGCCATACTGTTGAGGACCCCGCAAGAAGCAAACGAAAGGTAAAAGGGCCACTGGGAAAAGTGTTCCAGGGAGCAGCGGCAGCGCGCGATGCGGCGGAGGAAGAGCCAGCAAAGGATGAAGGGGCTAGAAGAAGTGAGAGATGCAGACAGAAGGCGCCATCTCGAAGCACAGCGGATACACGAGGCAAGACATTCAAGGAGACTTATCAAGGCTCTCTGAGAACGGCCCTCTATGGCCTCTGCTGCTAGCTCTAGCTTTCATAGTGACCCTGTTTAGTTCTGATATAAAGACCTTTAGGAGGGTCACCACCATCTAGCCATGTCACGAAGACAGACGCCGCCCCCCGGCAGCGGCGCCTCAATTCGCCCCGTCCTTATCAGAAGAGGCACAAGGCCTCGCCAGCCGCACATCAGTACGTTCCAATCCACCCAGTAAAGGCTTTTTTGTGAGCGCCATGCATTTTTCTGGCGATCATGGAAGGCAGGTTAAAAGGCCCCTACCGGGCTCAATGGGTCGGTGGGACTCGACAGGGGGGGCCCTTGGCCAGTAGAGGCTGCAATAGGGGCGTCACTGGCCAGGCTTTCGGACCAACTTTGACAATGAGCATTCAGAGCTTTCTCCTTGTTCATCCAGAATCTCCATCTCTCTTTGCGGACTCGGGTAGTGCCGCTTCGGGAATGCAGCTCAGCATCGGCTTGCGAGTGGCGGCCGCACTGGGAAGGAGGCCGAGTGTGTAGCACAAGCATAGAGAAGGCTTAGAGCTAGGGGCTCAGCGCATTGCGCGTCTAGCGATAAGGGGCGGCGGGGGTAGGGGGGTGGCTTTTAGGTTACCTTGTTTGGTGGGAGGACTTCATTGCGCGCTGGTCATAAGGCGCCCCATGTTCTAAGCCAGAAAAGAAGTCTTGGCGTCCCACGCGATACCGCGTTCTTCAAGGATAGCGAGGAGGGGGGCCTCTGTTGGCCCCCCATCTCACTGTTTGAATCCTACTGCGCCCGAGCTGTAGAAAACAGCCTCTTGTCTGGCGTAATGCCGGCCCCCACGCCCGCGGGGAGGCGAGAGAGCCTCCAGCAGTGCTGCCAGGAGGGGGCCAGAGTGCCTGTTCTACTTATGTTAACGGTATATATCTGGTGTCTTCTGTGCGTTCTTACTCCTGGTGGGGAAGCCATCCCAAGGCGAGCTCAGTGCTCACCCGCTGTAGCTATCTGCACGCACATTCCACGCCAACGGCTGCTCTCTCGATGTACTTACAGCTGCAGCACCCGCAGCAGCGCGCTGCGTGCGGGGCGGCGTGCTGGGGATGTCAGCGCCTTCATGGAGCCTGCTACCGACGCCTTTAGACTGGCGAGACTCGCCCTCTCGGGAGCGCCCTCCTTCCAGAAAGGCCCCTCATGTGAGACCGTCTCCCCCCTTTGCGGCAGGCGGCAGAGCGCATCGGATCGCCAAGGCCAGGAGGAGCGCAAGGCCGCCCCCTGGAATCGTGCCGAGTTCTTGCAGGATCTCAGGCCCAAATGCGAGGCCTGCCTTGAGGCTCTTACCCGGCACTTTCTCACCCTCGGCAACCTCCAGCTGACGTAAGAAGCAGCCGCCGAAGCACAGGCGCAGTTGCAGCAAGAGGCGCGGCTGCAAGAGGGACTGAACTACGCTCGTTTACTACGCTCATGTGCTGCCGTCTGTCTCAGGCCCGCCGCCTTGTCTCACGTGAGGGTCACCTTAGGTGTTTCTGAGGAGCCAGGGCGCGACCACCCCCAGCCCCGACAGCCGAGGCGGCACCAGCTCAAGCAGCAAAAAACGCAGCAAACGCAGCCGTTGCATGCAGTGGCGAGTATACAGACGCTGGGGGGTGCTGCTGCACTGCTGGTGACCCCCCACGATGCAACGGCAGCGTCTGCAGTCGAGACGGCCCTCCGGGCCGCCACAGGAGATTTCAGTGTTTGCTTGCAGCAGCAGCAGGAGCAGGACGCTAGCGGCAAGGCTATACCGTAAGCTACGCGCAGGATAGGTTGGTGGCGCGTCTAAGGAGAGGCTGCTGTTCCCCTTGGCATCGCTGCCAAGGTCCTTTTTGCTGCGCTAGTCTTGCATGCATCCGCTGGATATCTGGGGCTTTCTGCGTACAGGGCATTTGTGGTGCGGCGGCAGAGTCTAACGCGGGATTGGCGGTGCGCTCGCCTCTAGAGGCCCTTCACCCTCTGCAGCTGGGGCCCTTTGTTGCTGCGCGCACCCTTTCCCATGCTTGTTATCATACACCTCCTGGTTCGCTGTCAAGCGGTGCCTGCGCAGTTTTTTTCGCCATGTCTGTGCGCATGAGGAGGGGGGAAGGGGGCTGCCACCTCCCTGGTCCCCCTGCAGCTAGCGTCGTGCTTCCCTGTTGTCAGCTGGGGAGTTCCCGTTGACCCCTACAGCAAGCACATACCTGCTGCCTCTGGGCTAACTCTCCCATGCCTGTCTGCGTTCTCCTCACACCTCAGAGAGTCGGAAGCTCGGAAAGCCCGTGAAGCAGCAGAAGCCGCCAAAGTGGCGATTCGGTGAGTCTCTGGCGTCAGCGGTCTACCGTTTCTTCAGCAAACAGCGCTACCGGGGGTATACACGTGTGCAGTGCTGCAGCGCTTCTTAGGAGCAGCAGAGAGTGCGATGTGTATGGAATGCGATTTAGGGCCGTAAGGCGCGAGGCCCTTCAGCACATTAAACAGAAACTTGACAGCAAAGCCATTGGCGAAAACGAGGCAAAAGTAACGGAAGTAAGTACGCCGAGGTAGAGCTGTATATAAACGTTTTTTAGGGTCGGGTCACTTCGCCTATCTGTTCATCCTCATCTGCTGCTGTGCAGTGTGTCGCATGTGTATATCGGACTGTTTTGCCTCGTTTTCGGTGTGTGTATCCTCTATACGGGTTCATCTCCCCCTCTGTCTCTCTCTCTTTTTCTTTCTTTCGTTCTTTCTCTCTCTCGCGCGCTCGGTATCTGCCAGCTCCCATCCACCGAAAAGCCAACAAACACCTCTCACTCAGTGCTTCTATTTATGTCCTATCGTACTGCAGGCCGCGGTCAACCGGGAGGCTGACGCCTTTGTTTCTCAAGTCGTCATCACTCTCCAGCGCAAGCAGAAAGCCCTGCTATCTCCTGAGTGAGGTGATGCCTTTGCGGGTCTTTTTTATACAGAGGAATGATACATGGCGGGCGAAAGGCCTCACAGCCCCGAAGCATCTAGGGTCACTCGCAGTACGCGCTTATGCGCGGCTGCTGCTGCGGCAACCAGATCTGCCGCACGACTCGGTGCTGCTAGAGACGGGGGGCCAAAGCTCTTAGGGCCGTGTGCTGTGCTTCCTGCAAAAGCACACGATCCCGCTACTGCTTCAGCCGCAGTATGCAGGGCACTTGCCTCTTTGGCCAGCAGCGGCTGCTGCTGCACTGCCTTTACTGCGACGGCACCAAGCGATAGCTGCAGCAAAGGCGTCACTCCCTTAAAAATCCAGAAACCTGCCGCTAGGTCATACCGCTCAAACTCGATGCCTTCAATGCATATACAGATATGGCTTCCCTCTTGCCTTTCTCGCCGTAGTTGTAGAGCAGCTCGAGCGGGCTCGAGAAACTTGTCAACCTGCGCACTGAAAGGGTGACCTCGAGAAGGCCCCTCCCCGCGTAGCTGCACACAACAGATCTGGAGGCCTCCCGTCATTAGAAACAGCGAACCCTCGAGGGGAGGAGAGCCCGCGAGCGAGTCCTTATCCTGTGCATGCTCGTGGAGGCTCTGTTGATCCTGCGTAACCCGAACACAAGACGCAGTCTTGATGAATCTGCGCAAGCGCTTGTGACGGTGCTGGTGGCGCGGTGTACAAGGAGGTATAGAAAGCGAACTGCTAAGAGGGATATGTCCTGATTACCTCAGGGAGTGACGAGGACTGCTGGACGTGCAGCAGGAGACCCACAAGGTCATAGGGGAGGCCCCCAGTGAGGCCGAGGGCCCCCGGGGCCCCCGGGGGCAGCGGCTCTGGGGCCCCCCCTCCCGGTAGGTCGGGGCCCCACAAGGGGGGGGCCCATGCAGGACGCGCCTCTGCCTCCTCGGCGGCAGCTGGAGCTGTTGCCCCTGCTCCTAGCGTTTTGCCTCTGATGTTTCCCCGCAAGGTGTGCGGCGCAAAGCCACAGGCGAGAAGGTGGCTCTCGGATAAGACAGGGAGGCGTAAGAGTAAGGGCAGTGCCTGCAAAGGCACTCCTGTCTGTCGATGTGGCTGCTGGTGGAGCTGCTGGGCAAGGAGCTCTGGAGGGATGGGAGAGGGGCCTACTGCCTCTACGAGGGTCCTGAAAAAACACCGATCATGCACGAATCAGAGCACCCGGAAGGAGGTGTAGGGAGAAGAATGCCGCTTGTGCTTGACGTGGTATCCACAGAGGACCCCACCGATACACACAGAACGAGGGAGGGCGAGGGAGGACGGCTGCCGGATAAAGGAAGAAAGCTGGATTTAGCATGTCTCGAAAGGCAAGCCCCTCGAAGAGCTCTCAATTGGATGCAGGAGAGCCCCTCTGCGCGTGAAGCATCAGAGGAGGAGGGCCAGTGAGACTGCCAGAGTGGACAGGCATCTCGAGGAGAATCAGAAGGGAGCGATTGGTCGGCAGGGAGTGCGCAGGAGGAATTAAGGGGGAGGGGTAAGGGATGGGGAGGGGCGGGGGTGGCTCGCGTGCCCATAAGAGGCACGTGAAATTGCGCAGGTGAAGGAAGGACAAGCATTCGAGGCGAACGGCGAGACAAACTCGACACAAAACATGAAGGGAAGGAAGGCCAAGGCAATGTGCTCAAAGCATCCTCCTGAAGTGTCACCGCACCTCCCTGTGGGGTACAATCGAGGGAGGCCCACATAGACTCCAAGAGCTGCTCTTTCCTGCCGTCTTCTCTCCAGCGCAAGGATAGCCGTTGCTGCCGCATCAGCGGATAGCGGAGGCTTGCAAGCGCCTTCAGAAGCACTGCTCACACCAGCAGGCAGTCTGGAAGCTCCTGGAAGCAGCTGCGGAGGAGGGCCTCCCGTCCTTAGATTGAGCAGCCGCACACGCCGCCCCTCCTTGAGGAGCTCCTCGGTGTCTACACTCCAAGGCAGATGTACCCAAGCAAGAGACTGCCTGAGCTGCTGCATCAGAGCAGTGTGCTCTCTGTGCTGTTGCTGCTGTTGCTGCTGTTGCTGCTGTTGTGAGTCTTGCATCCCCGGGTTCATAGAGGAGCTCTCTGCGGGAGCCTCATGCATGAGGCCCTTCTTTCCCGCTGGGAAAGCTCCCCCGCGATGCTGGTGACGACTCTCGCGGTCCTGGTGATCGCCTTGATTTTGCTCTGCTGTCTGCGCTGCAGTCGCACCTGCTGCTGCTGCTTGCTGCAGGAGTAAGGCATCCACCACGAGCAGCCGCACTTGCTGCGTCATCTGCTGCTGCACTGCGGCGATTTCAGCGGCGAAGCGCTCCGAGAGCCTTTCCCGCTCCCTCTCTGCCGCCCTTACGGGCACTAGGAGGTCATCCTCCTCTTCCTCTTCCTCCTTTGCGTCCTGCTGCTTCTGCCGTAGCTGCCCTTGCATGCGCCTCGCTTCTGCTGCAGCTACGCTGTCCTCACGGCAGCGCTGCAGGTGCGCTGCTGCTTCCGCAAGGGGGCCCTCATAGGCGGCACGCAGCTGCTGCTCCTGGACGCTTCTCCATAGCTCTCCCTCTTGAAGCGACAGGAGGCAAGGGCGTTGCTGCAGCTGCTGTGGCTGCTGCTTCTGCTTCTCTTGGTGCAGCAGCAGACGGCAGTGCGGCGGCAGCACTCGCAAGACAACCACATCCACAAGAGGCAGGGGCCCTCCGTCTGGACGAAGACGCCTGAGGGGCAGCGAAAAGTACCGGGGAATGCGAAGGGCCCCAAGGCCCTTAGGGAGCTGTGCAGACATCGTGCTGCAGCAGCAGCTGGAGAGCCGCAGAAAAGCCTCCTCAGGTGCTTCTAAGGGGCAGAATCCTTCTGTCCCTCCCACTAGCTGGGCTCCCTGCAGCAGCATCCGCGGCATGCGCATCGGCGGCAACGAGCCTGTGAAAACGCTTCCGATTTGCGTCTTCCCTTCGAAGACCGCTGCAGCAGAGAGCCGGGAGGCCCCTCCTAACAGGCGCCCCAGATCGTTAGCGAGGAAGCAGTCGAGCGGCTTGCCCCTTATCCAGTAAAATCCGTCCGTCAACGCGACCTCAGAAACGCGGAGAGGGCTGCCTCCAGAGAGGCCTCCTCCTCCTACTCCTCCAGGGGGAGCCGTTATTCGCCAGCCTACTACCCCTACAGCCAAGGGAATAGCGGCGGGGGTGTCGCCTTCGCAGATGCGGCGCAAAGCCGAACGCCAGCCTTCCGCTTCTCGCGCTGCTCGCACCAAGAGCCTACGCAGCAGCGTCAGGGGACTTGGCGGGGGAGGAAGTGTCTTTTCTGCCAAAGATCCAAGTCGCTGCGACTGAACAAAGCACTGCTGACGCCAGCGGAGGCAGCCGAAGAAGGCAAGCAGGCGGAAATGATTGGCGAACCACCGCCATCCGAAGCGCGCAAGACTCGCGCTGGAGCTGCTGGGGGGGGTTTCCGAGCGATCTGACGGATGCTGGAAGAGTGGCTTCTGCTCCTGCTGCTCTCTAAGGGCACAGCAAAACATCTGGTATATTTGGGGGGCACCTCCGAGCAGCATCTGCCCCGTAAAACTCGGCTTGCAAAAGACAAAATCTGCAGCCGACCAGAAGCAGCAGCGCGAAGGGTCCACAAGTTGAATTCCAAGAGGCAGCGCAGACAACACCCAGCGCTGCGGAGCAGCAGCAGCAGCAGCAGACGCTGCAACTGCTGCAACTGCTGCTCGCTCATGCAAAGGCGCGGCAGACAAATTCGCGGGATAGGCGAATCGGTTCCAAAGCTCGTCGAGACGACGGCGGGGAAGCGCACAGAGAGGGCGGGACTGTGGTGCTTGCTCGGGGGAATCGCCGCCTCTCAAGGAAGTTTTATTTTCGAATGCGGCTGCTCCTGCAGCGATACGTGTTGCTGCTCCTGATGAGAGCGAACTAAGGGACGCTGGCGCTGAAGACGCGGCTGCTGCTGCCTTCAGTCTCTTCGGAGGCTTAAAGCCTCTCCTTGAAGATCCACCCCCCCGCTGCCGCATCGGCTCAGGCAGCAGCCCCCCCGCAGCGAACGGCCTCCGCAAACCAGGAAAATTACTCCTTAGCATGGAGGATGTGGGGAAGGATGCTGGCGCTGCTGCCTCTATCACGGCAGACCGTGATGGTGACGTGGTAGCCTCTGCTAACGATGCCTCTGCACTCCGTGAACACGTACTGTCCTCACTATTTGTGCTTCCTGTATGGCGAATGCTCCTTGTACCTGTGACTGTGTTTAGGCTTGCGCTTACGCTGTTGCTCCTGTTGCCGTTGCTGATGCTGTTGTTGCTGCTGCTGGTGCTATTGCTGCTGCTATTGCTGTCCTCCCCATGCTCAAGGCTCAGCAGACTGCGCGCCTTGGCAAGAGCCTCAGAGGAAATCGTCGCCCTTCTGCCAGACGCAAATGAAAATTCCCCCAACGAAGGCTGTCCTTCTCCTGCTGACGCTTCTAGCCGTGAAACAGCAATGCCAGCATTACCACCATTAC